TCTCTCTCTCTCTCTCTCTGTCTCTCTCTCTCTCTTCCCCCCTCTCTCTCTCTTGTCCGTTTTTCAAATTTTCCTCGTTAACTAGAGCCACCATTACCATCCCCACCGTTTCCAGAAATAGGATCTAAATAAACATTTTAAAAATTGATAACAAGACGAACCAAGAAGACAGAGCACTACAAAATGTAAAGATTAAAAAAAAGGAAAAAGGAAAATCGAAACGGAGAATCCATTGGTCTTGTAACTACATTGTATTGACGAGCTGTTTTGTCGGGCGATGAATGTAGTTTGGGGAAGGTAATCACTGTAGAACATTGATTTATCGACGGAGAGCCCAGCCACTCCGCAAAGAGTACACGTCATGCAATTGTCTGTTTTGTCAAGAATACTGGAAATCATCTAGGGAGTGGGGCAGTTTTAGACAAATGTTGTGTTTTTTTAAGCCTGCACTGAATAACCCTGTCAGTGTGCGCTGCTGCACAGTATACTATTGTGGATTGCTACTACTGCAGAATTGAGTGCATGGTCGGTCCCTGTATGTATACATTTTCTCTGAGTGGCGTAACGGCTCCCTCTCCATTTCTTAATTAAATATCTGAAGGCAAAATAATACATGTGTATATTAACAAAGTGTAGAAAAAATGCAATATTGTACAGGTTGTGGTCAGAAATGCTAAAATATTATTTTTCGATAATTCTCGCCTTAGTATGGGGGCTTCAAAATTTTCTCTCCGTTGCACTTTGATAGGTTTGAGCCTGCGAATTTGCAAAACTGCTCAGAGAGGAGTGTGTAATTTTTATTTTTTTTATTTTTTGGGGGGAGGGGGGGGATTGTGTTTCGAAATAGGATGGAAAATTAGGAGAGTCAGATTAGTAGGGGTGGGGGCGCGGAAATTGAAAGAAAAAGAAAGAGAAATAAAGATCCAGCTAAATCTACGACAAAGGAACAAGACAAAAACTATGAGCTTATTTAAGAAGAATGCGCTGGACTAAGTATGGCAACAGTTCCATGGGCAGCACAGGTAGCATCAGTGCTGTGCTCTTTCTGGGAAACATAGGAGGGGGATTAGTGATCGTTTGAAATCGACTAGCTATTTTCACTTTTTCTGTCCGTTCAACAAAATGTATTCTTGGTACTGAAATAACGAAACATGTGCTGTTACAAAGACAGCTGCTTGGAACCAGCAGAGTCTGAATCTCGTTTCCATGGCGACAGCAGATGACTCCCATTTACCGATACATTGACATGTTTTTGAGAGGATATTATTATTTGTCATGAACTTTTTTTTCTTTGCATTTAGGGATGATATTTCATCGCCACATGTCATCTTCATCGCCAGGTTTTCAAAATGTTTTTGACGTTTTATCTTTTATTTCTCTTTGGTTTCTCTTCTTTTTCTTTTATAACCATCACCTTGTAGTGATTTGGTGGAGAGGAAGGACCACTAGGCATTTTTCGTTTCGAGTAACCATCTGTTTAGCCTAAGTCCTGATTTCACCACAGTCTGACCCTTCGTAGACCTTTTTCTTTTCAACTTTTTTCTTTTGATAAAAAGCCACAGATTGATTTTTCAGAATTTCAGAGGTAAGATATATTGGCCCCACTGAGAAACTCTTTGACAGGCGTTTTGTGATTTATTTTTCCTTCTAAAATTTGTTAGATCAGTTAAATCTATTAGATACTTCAATTGCAGACCACCATTTACCTATTTTCATTAGGTTTAAGCGATTTTCCTGTCAATTCCATTTTTGCAATGCTTACAGTTGATATAGAATGCACCCATGACTACCATCTACTATAATCTCTTTGTTTTTGCTTGTACGTCCTAATAACATTATTGTTTCATTTGTGGGTATATTTGTTAGCGTGTGTAAGTGGAAGTTTGAACTATTTCATGAAGGCAATGCACGAGCTATCCACACTTCAAGATTTGTTCACCCAGGCGCAAGGAGTCTGCCCTCATAGGTTTATACCCAGTGCACACTGCCGGTAGGATTTATTTTTATTGAGTCGGGATCAGACAGATTTTTCTTTCTGGAAGCGGCAAAAGTGTATTGTGGCACAGTGCGTCTCAATTCAACTCAATTCGAGTGTGACTTTCAAATTATTCACGTTTGTTTTTAAATCAAGGTCGGGAGCCGAATTGGTTGTATTGTGTCAATGTCAAAATAGCTCTTGCCTCGCCATCAAGGAGACTGTCTAGCTTCGACTCGATAAAATGAATTCGATTGGCAATGTGCACTAGGTATAACATTAACCTATTGCTGCACTAAGCTGCTTTTGTCTTCTGTGTTCAGAGCTTTGACGCTTGGTTAAGTCTCGGAAATTACGTTGGATTTGATCGTATTAGTCGACACGTGAAGTTCGTGCATTGCCTAGACTGTCTCGTTCTCATCATGGTTCATCAGGAGTTCTCATTTATCTTCTCTTTGTGGTGTCTTCCCTTCTACGCCACGCCACGCCACTGTTGCTATGCTCATGGGCAATCCGCATCGGTCGATGGATGTAATTAAAATTTACACGAAGAGGATTGAATGCTAGTTCTTTTTAGTTTCGGTAATGTTCAGAGCTGCTCGTCATTACGAATTTGGCGAAATCGTGACGTTTTTTGCCCTGAATATTTTGTGAACTGCTCTCAGTTATTGTACGAATCATTAGGAAATAAAAACCCTTAAATTTAAAATTTTGTAAGTTCCAGAAAGGTAACGCATGCAACGCAGTGTCCCCACTCGTTTCAACCCTCTGCGGGAAGAAAAAAAGTTTTGTCGTGCCTTTTTCCGCGACAAACAGCACATATCCCTATGCTGGTGACCTCATGCAGTCAAGTCGGAATCGCACTTTTATGAGTCTTTTTATTAAGGTAGCCCAGAGGTGTGAAACAGGACATTGCTCTGATGTTTTCAACATTTCGTGTTTGGGGGTAATTGTAGGTTTTGGATCAATACCAGCATTGAAAGTTTCTTCGCTATTCCTAATATTTTTTGGCATTATTGTTATAGTCTCGCATTATTATGTTTATAGCGATTGCTTTCCAGTCTAGTGTGTCAAAATATCCATCATAACCGCTTTTTTTCTATACAGTTTAAAACATTGCCTAAGACAATAGCTTAATGCTTAATAGGTGAATAATGGGATAACGTTTTGTTATGAAACGACGCCAGATCATTTCAAGAAGATTAGGAGTGGAAGGGAAATAGAAAGAAAATCAGACAGCGAGAGAAATAGAGAAATAAAGGTAGACAGAGCAACGTTTAAGGGCACTAACAGAGAAGAAGGGTAATTTATAAATTTTGCTAAACGAGAATGTGAATTAAGGTTGATCCCTATAGTGTAAAGATTTTCTTTTAAACATCAGAAAAAAGTCTCCAAAGTCTAAAATTCAGAGGATTTCATGGTACTCATGAATGCCAGTGTTCATTGAAGTTCTCGTTGATTAGCGGAAGATAAACAAAATGCGCCGACTCGCATTCACTCCTCTTGTTTTGCTTGAAGCTTAAAATTCTGCCCTGTGCACCAGCACTTTGCAAGCAACGTTCCCAGACT